TGAAAATTCTGGCATTGCATATTTCACGGGGCAATACTTTGTTACCAGCTTATGAGATGGTAACAAAATCTACCGGTTACAAGAGCACACAGAATGCGAAAAGGGTTTAAAAATTGACTGGAACTTTATTTACCGGTTACAAACTTTTTATTACCAGCGCAGAATAGACCTGTTAATTACATATGAAAAAGCATCAGAGACGTGCAAAACGCCATCCGTGTAGTGAAAAATGCTTCATTTTAGTACGGGAGTATTTGAATTGAATATTTCCATTATATGTACGTAGTGTATGTATAATGGAAAATCCATTTGGTTAAGACTTTCCACTTGATTTAAATACGAACATTTTTAAACGGTAATTAATGTTTAAGTCAACACCTCAATCTCTACGTGTTGTAATAATAGTAAAGTCCGGCGCTTACACAATATGTTGGTGTTTGGCCGAACTTCTCCTCCGATTTGTCGCGTGGGCCTTAATGTTGTGGCACAAAGGGGGTGACTACAGTTTTATGTCGACTCTGAACGGCGATTGTATTTTATGGGAAGCTGTTTTTCATTTTCAAGGGTTGTGCACTTCTAACCACTACACCCCAGCGGCCTATATGCGAAACCTATATTATTATTATTATTATTATTAATTAATTTGTTTCAGTAGTACAGAGTAAGACTTATGTCTTTTAATAGTACTTCAACTATATATATATATATGTGGTATACGGAAAGGGGGCTTAGGTGTCAAAAAATCAATTTTCACTTTTTGGTTGATTCGGATGGAAGATGAGATGCTTTTTCACGTGGTGAAAAGCAGAAAATCCTAACTTGCTTAGAAGTGTACTAAAAATGTAGAGAAAGAAGAGTAAAAGTACGACAAAATATAATTTATTGGTAATGAACAAAATACATTGAATTATAAGCTATAAAGACATGATTATACACTAGAAAAACGTATTATGGGCCAAAAATAATAATGCTGAGTAGTTTATGTATTTTTCTTTGTTGTCGTTTTCCTTGAGATCTTTTTACGTGTTGATCCTGAGGAAGATGGACCTGGTTCCTCGTCTGGTTTGAGAACATCTTCACTAGTTTTTGCCTTCCGTTTCTTCGATGACAAATCTTTCGGCAATGGAGCCACAATATCTACTTTAGATATATCCGAAACTAAGCTGCGAAGATTGTGATAGATGTACCACTGACGTTCCAAAGATAAACCGGCTGGTTGTATAACTTTCGGCATTTCAGGATCCATAGGTTTTAACAGAAGCTTAAAGGACTGCACTTCTTCACTGTCTGCGAATTTCTTTGTTTTTACACAATCTGTAGAGATTATGAAATGATGGAATTGCGTTATTCCAACAAGTGACTTGTACAGTGGTTTAAAATAGCTGTCCCATTAATACCAGACGACTTTTTCAGCCGATACAGCTTTATTATAACCCCCAGGTGATGATGCTTCGACACACTGCAGTAAATCTGCATACGTGTCGATGTTACTGACGGCATACATACATACATATACGGCACTGAACTCCTCATCAACACTCATGTTTCATTTCATGCGAAATGCGAAGACGATAATCAACAGAAACAGTAAACGTCACTTCTTCAGTGTTACTTTTTTAAATGTTCCACACTAGCAACTTACACGATGAACTATAATAATATTCCGACCAACAACAACACTTACTGGACCAACAACAACACTTACTGGACGTCCGGCGCGGAGAACAATTAACGAGATAATGAGAAACTGACGAAACGAGTTGCTTACTTTTAACAGCTTTTTCACAGAAAACTAGTTTTCGCACGTAAGCTCCCTTTTCGTAGACCAGGTCACATATATTATGTTTTACAATACTTATTTTACTATGCAAGTTTCTTAAATTTAAATTTTTACAAATTTTCTCAAACAACAAATTTTATTAAACAACAAAATACAATATATGTAACTTAACAATAACAACGAGTATGACTTAATTAATAGAAAAGAAAAAAAATATCAGAATGGAACAGAAATAGTGGACAGAGATAGAGAAAATTTTAATGCCCTTACACAATGCTATCAGTCATTTTTAAAATAATTGTAGATTTGTGTCTTGTAGTTGAATCTGTTTAACCCACTCTTTACGGTCTCAGGTAATGAATTCCAGACTCTTCCTGCGTGAATGAAAAATAGTCTTGATGATGCTAGGTAAGTAAATTTTAGAACAATAAAACTGTTGTGTCTCTGTGACCTTACTGGTATCAGCTTCTCAAAGAGATAGGCAGGTATTTTAAATACAGTAAGTTTGTAAATAAATATACAATTCCTAGCGGCCAAATAGTTCTCAAGACTACAACCCAGGACATTTGTTCGACAGGCAGAAATGTGCTCATATCTACCAATCCCATATACATAACGTGTAGCATTGTTGAATGCTACATTGAGTTTATGGCAAGATATTGAGTCCAGTTTGCTGTATACCACCTCAGAGTAGGTAGATGATTGGCATAATTAGTTGGAGAACTAATTTACGCCTGGTTTCCAGTGGCGTAAATGTTGCAGAAACTCTCAGCTTACGCAGTATCGCATACACGCTGCTCACAACCTTATTTATGTGGTCAGTACATGTAAGTTTAGAGTTAAGAATAAAACCTAAATTTCTTATCTTATCCGTAAAACTAAGCGGGCTGGTACCTATCCACAGTTTTGGAATACAATCGACATACACCACACT